TATATTGAGTAACTATTATTGTAAACGACTTTTAAATTTGTTTTTCCTTATCCATCATAATGAATAATTATTATACAATTCAACGCTTGCGGTTAATACATTAGGCACATATTATTATAATATTTCGGTAATCGAAATAAAATACAATAGCAATATCAATAAGAAAAAAATCGTACATATACCTACACGATAATATTAGGTTGAATATTATAATATTATTTAGGCAGTGTTAAGATGAAGATTTTTTTATTCGCATATAAGTAGCGAAGTTATCAAATTTGTTTCGAAATCAATTGGATATTGCTGCGGTAATATAAATTATTATACTATATACGAAAATAATAACCTTGTGTATTTAAAAAAACAAAATAAAGTCGTGAATTAACCTTTATTAAAACGATTTAATAAAATAATATAATAGTGAAAAATATTATGAGATACATATAATACTTATGTATATTATTCTACCTTGGGTAGGCATGTTTTCGATTGACTGCAAGGACCATGGAATTATAAAATTATTAAATTCTAAAATATCGAAAACAGTCAATATAAATTTTTTAATTCGAAAAACGATTCTGCGAGTTCTGCTATAAGTTTACGCATTAACATATTAACGCTTCCTTGAATTTCATCTTGCTGCAAGTTTTTTTTATATGGTTTTTAAGGCATTGAACTAAGACATTAGGAAAAAAAAACTCGATTTCCTTATACTATCGTCCGTGTTTAATTATTTGACTGCCTTTATATCTATCTCTGAAATCGTATAGGACGATTTTTTTTATTGCATTGTTATATATAATATGATACATTTTCGTTCTGTTATGCAGTGTCCAATTCGTTATAAGTTATCGACATTTTGAACATTTACAAACAACTAAACGCTTTTATATAGCCGAAATAATAACTGGTCAAGTGTGAGTTGAACCACACTCTGAGAATTCAGTACTAATATGAACATTTTCAAAAAATATATAGAAAGACATTTTTATCATGATCTGAAATTATCTCAAATTAATGTTACTGTAACCTCACGCGAAACGATATACGTTCTGCGTAGCTATGTTTACCCTCCCCCACTGACACTTCTCTAAAAGACGGACAAACAGAATATTGTCACGACAACAGAATTCTGTTAGAAACTATATTATAGTATAAACGGGACGGAACCACGTTGAATTTATCCAAGAACGATTTGAATATTATAATTTATTTTTAGAGGACGGCATTCTTAAAATAGAAATTTAAACGATGAGAAACGAAAGATGTGGCATCTACAGCTGCACCAACTATCAAAACCTGACCTCGACTTGTGAAAATTAAGTCTATAGGTACGCGACAACGTGCAGCATCTGTTGTTATTATATTATAATACGTATAATTAGGACTAGTAAAGTTTTTTTTGTTTTTAAACCGTATCATTAAATCGATTTGAAGCCATTGCGATCGCATCGTGTCGGTACTTTATAATTTTTTAAAATGATTACTATAGTTATTACAATAATTCCATACGTGATATGTGTGACTTGTGATTTTAATATTATAATACGTATCCACATGCAGGTATAGCATTAGGTATGCGAGTGTCATTCGTACCGGTATTTTGGGCGTCTATAAATATTTGAGTTGTCAAAATTCGTAATAACATTTTCCATAGTACGTAATAATCTTTGGTTTCAATTATTATTCATGAACCTTCCCTAGGTATAGGTATCCAACTATTTAAATATTTGTTTTCATATACCGGCCGCGTCCGTATAATATACAGGGCCGTCCAAATTGTATATTATGTTACATTTTTGAGTGTCGGAGTACGGGTCAGTAGGTACCTAATAATTCACCTGAAATGTTGAAACTAAAATATAAAGTTCGATAGGCCAAAGTGGCTATATCGAATGATATTTTGTGTCATCGTGGTTAAAACGAATTGAACACAGGCTAGAATCAATACGCAGATGTTCCGAAAAATTGGGAAATGATTTTATATGACTTTTGAAGACGAATCCTAGTCTGTAATCAGTTTGTTTCAAACGCTTAGGAAAATATTTATACATTTCACTGAAAAGATTACCGACGGATATTCGAGTGCGATGAAATTATTTTAGCGACGGTACACACACAATAATAATAATACCGCTATAAAAATATAATAGTATTATACTGCGTATATATTATTATAACGACAACAATATAGATAGGTACATATACTTACGCCGCACACGAGTGCAAACACGACATTTTATTATTGTTATTATTTTTTTTATTTTTTTTTTGCTCATTGTTACCACACATGTGTTTTCCTAAATTATTAATATTAACCTACACTATACATTATAATATACATCATAGGCGATCAAGGACGAAAAATTATTAAATATTATACTTATTATGAAATGTTTATCAAACGCGGTATGTTACGTATACGTACCTACTTTAATATGGGTATAATACAGGTAGTACAAGTTAGCTACCTAACCATACTATAGCCGGTAAAAATAATTCGTAGTTGTGCGTATCTCATTTTGTACGTGTAGTACCTATATGACATATTATTATAATACTAAATTTAAATCGAATAGTATATTATATTAATGTTCACTAGCTATTGTTGTTATTATTATTATTATTTTTATAACATATGAAATCAGATACGGAATCGGATCGATAATACGCGGCGCAGATCGTTGTAAAAATAAACCGAACGCACGCTACTCGCGCCCGAATCATAATTTTAAGCCGAAAATAAAATAGTATACTAGTCGCGTAAAAATTATTATACCTAGGTACGATCGAAGGACGTCTCGGAAACGTAAACTACATTTTATTAATGTCACAATAATTACCCACCAAATATTATGTTGCTATCCGGATGTGATTTTTGGTCAAATGTAAAGTAAAAGCTTACTGATGTGCTAATATTGAAGGAGAGAAGTTGGAAAGATATGGCAATAGAAATAGGTAGGAAAAATAAAAAATAAAAATAGTAAAATTAATACCGTTCCTTGCTGCGCTCAGAATCTAAAAACTGGTCAAACGTGAACTGAACCAGTTGCGGGTATCGTGCTACGGACAGGTTTAAAAATCGTGACGAGAAATTATCTCACACGTGGTGATCGATAATATAACATCGTGGTCCTTTATTTTAAAAGGAGATTTAATATTGTGCTTGTGATCTGTTTAAAAATGTTTCATATGCATAAAAAGAATTCAAAATTGTTACTCCTGTCCTATTTACATGCATGACGCCCTGTTCAAATAAATTTGTTTTTAACTTTAGATACGATTTACGACGAATTATTACACAGGAGTTGTCACAATACTAGAATTCTTTAACAGAACCCAATCAGGACTTCTGTAAGCAGTGGTGTAACGAACTAAGGTTAAAATGGACAGCCCGATCTCAATAAATTAGACGATCGTTTGATTCTGATCTCATGTATGATATTTACAATGTTTTCCCATTGTTACAAAAAGTATTAAGTATTTTTAAAGTATCAACTAAATTAAAAATTTAACAAATAAGTTCTATGGCGTGTTTGATTGGGTCACGTCATCAAGTAACAAACTGGAATTACACTCCAAAAATTCGTTTACTTTTCATCAAACGTTTTTTTTCATTGTATTTATTTTGTTTATTTAAATTAAATAAAGTAGAATAGAGTTAGTTCTCCATACATATCGGTGAACTAATCTTGTTAGGTGGTGTTTACTTAATAATTTGATTGATCTGCAAATCTATTAGACCATATGGCACAGAAATCTGTAATCAAAAAACTAATTATATCTTAGTTATAGAATATAATATTATATATTTGCTGTTAGGGAACATATTACGTTAATTCAAATGCTATAATTTATTTTGCATGTACATTGTACACATTATTTTACATGACAAGGAAAAATTGATTGTATGTCGAAGGGACGAAGGTGTGCACTTGCAAGTACAAACTATTAGATGACGTTTGTCGGGTTATTAATTGTTTTTAACAAATATAAAGAGCAGACGTTAGAGACGTTTATAAGTTCCACGCGTGCCGTTATTAAAGCCAAGATTTCGTTTAGAACGTTAGGTAAAAAAAAAAATCTTGTTATTTGGCAGTCACATTGTATTCATTTTACTACAAATACATTTTTATTTAAAAATATTATCACTTGGTTTTATGAATACATATTTTTATTTTACGCTATACATTGTACAACATAACATTAGGAGATACCCGCTGTGTTGCTCTCAAAAATAATATTTTTAAATACCCATTGTTTTTTTTTCGTTCTATTAAGCTGCTTAAATACGAGTATATAGATAATCTAAACTTTTGTAACTTACCCTGTTAAACGTTTAATTAACGTATTATATGATGTTCGTGTTGGAAATATTTATCTATATACAATAGTGGCTAATCTGGAGTTGCACCAAGGGGGACGGGGTGGTTTAAATATTGTAATTCTCCTGCAAAACGATCTATGACTACTACTTAAACATCCACATCGACATATTTATGCATTATAGACAAAACTTGCATTTTATCATTATCACTACTTTTTGGTAACGCTGATAAAAATACTCAAAAAATAATAAATATTATGGATACGTACCTATAAATACTGTATTATTTTATTATCTATAGGCTATAGCTGTGATTGAAAAAAAAATATAGCTAAAATATTCCAAGGGGGGGACGATCGACCAATCGCCCTCCCTTTCAAATACGCCACTGACATACAACCCTATTTTAGACATAATTTCTAATCAAACCCTTATAGATTACTGCCGTAGTGTGCCTTGCGTATGTACTATGGGGTGACGGTGGTCACCATAACGACCAGTTTGTGTACTTCAATACTTTGTTTTTATTTTACATCAAAATGTTCGCATACTTGCAGTATCTACTACATTATTTGTATTGTTTTAGTTCAGTTACAATAAATTAGTTATGTAAGACCTATAATATTTTTCCTACAGTTGATAAATCTCGTATAATTTTATATTTTTGTGAAAAATGGCCTGCGATATCAGGATGATTGACATAATGAAAGAAATTGGTTGTGTCGATGGATTTCACATACCGGTAGCTAACGAAGAAAATAAATCGCTTGAAAAAGAAGTATGCATTATTATTTATTTGTATGTGTCTATTTATTTAAATTTAAACAAAAATATGGGTATAATATTAGATTTAGAATATCTTATAGAAAAATCATAAATAATTGTTCTAAAGTTATGACGTCATAATTATCTCCTAGAATAAGTATGCGCTGCGAAGTTTTATAACTTATATTTTCTTTATATTTGATCATTTTTTAAATACAAATTGCACTATAATCTTTACATGTATATTTTTTTTGTTCATAGAATATAAATAGTTTCCGTTCTGTTCAATGTATTCTATCTGTTTCATTTTTGTTTTCTAATTATTTATCCTATCTATCTTCAAACATAATTGCCAAGTTGTGTTTAACACTTCACAGTAAATTACTAAAAAAAAAAAATTAGATTTTAATTACAATGTGATAAAATGTTAAACAGATCAAAGAATTGCTGCAAAACAAAGCGAGATTGTTGGTGACCGAGGAATCATTAGACGACGAATTACGTGAATATAAAAATATATTCAAGAATTTATCGATCCAAGAGGCACAGAATCAGGTAAAACGATCGATTTCAGAATTCCCTATATCTAAGGACGAGTGCTGTAAAGAATACAAAAAATAGAATTTAAATAAAAGTAATTTCTCTCAGTTATATTCATAATAAAATATACTCATATTATAAAATTTGAACTGATATCGATTAAATTATACAATTATTATAATTCATTATTAAAATTATTTTTAGTTTTTGAAATTAGTATCCAACTCACGTTATAAGTTTTTTTTAGATTATCTTTAATTGAAGTATCAACTATGGACACAATTTTGATTAGGTTTTTAGTTTTTATAAGTTATATATTTTATATTTAATAAAATAAATTATACTAAATATTACACTATTTTATTATTAAATATATCGAATAGAAAGGTACTTTTTAATCAAAGTACTATTTATAACATTTTTGAAGTATGACTACTTAAATACTATACTTGTTTGATAATAATTATAAACGATTTTTTGTGTTTAATGTACTTAAACTTTTGTTTACATTTTCATTACCTACGTACTTACGGGTACTTTATAATACTAAGGTAATAATACCTTACTTACATGTAGGTATTCTAAATTTATAATACTAAGAACGAATAAATTAATCATTCTCGATGAGACACTCATTATCTTGGAAAGTAGTACTTTTTTTAGAGTTTGTTTTTAGATAATAAAAAAAAAAAATAAGCAAAAAAATGCAGTGGTTTTCAACCTGGGGATCACGACCCATAAAAGGGTTGCGAGTGATAGATTGATGGAAATTAAAAATGTCAACACCAAAATTCATCTATATACGATATTTTAGTAAAGATTATTGTTCGAAAATTAAAAGTAAGTAAGGATTTCAATCCCAAAATTAAGGTTGACAAATAAAAAGGTTGAAGTTAAATGTTTACTATTTTTGAACTGCGTGTATTGCTACTCAATAATAATAATATGCATGCATACATATTTGTCAACTATAGAGGAATAAATACCAGTAGGTACGTTTAGGTATTTAGAAAGTATTTCAATTACATTTTTTTTGAGCAATATTTATTCATGTTGTAATTTAAATACCTATCTATAACTATTTACCTACCTTTTAAAAAAACATGTATTCTTGACAATACTAATAACAATAATAATAACGGTTAATTTATATATACATGTAAATTATTATTTAGGTATTGAAAATAATAATAACAATAATATAATACGTGTGTATTTCTACATATTATTAAAGATATATTGTATATAATATATATAAATAAAAAAAAAACAAATATTATGTATTTTTTTTTTCATTATTTTCGTATACTTATAGAAACTGATCATGGCCAATCGCCAACAATATGAGACAGAACAACATATGTTGATAACGGCCCAGAGAGACAACGACAATTTGTCCCGGGAAAATAAAGCGGCGACGAAAACGCTGAACCAACTGATCGACGATAATAATAAATTAGAAGTACGGGAAAAGTATATAAAAATAAATAAATAATAATTCAGCATTGTAATACGATATAGTGTTATACACACCAATTGGAATTATTGTGAAATAATTCCAATTTCATTATTTCAGTGTTTAATCTGTGGGGGGGGGAGGGTGATATAATTCACATTCATAAGAATTATATTATAAATACATAAGTTGTACTTGAAGGATCAGAGCTTTTGACCTTCTACCCCCTTGAGTTGAAAAGCAAATTAGAAATATGATAGCCCAATTTAACAAGCAAAACAATTAATTATGTTCGAGTATACTCACACGATTGCTATTTACGTAAATCTTAAAATTACGTTAATTATCTTAAAGTACGTAAATTTTAAATCACTAAAAAAGTTACTGCTTATGGGCAGGCCACTGTTGTAGATAAGAAGTTGAAAAAATAGAATTATATATAATTTAGTTAATGACTGTATGCACAAATAAATGGGCAAATATCAATTGCATCGGAAATCGCAAGAAAAGAAGAAAAATTATAGAATAAAAAAAGGGGGATATCCCAAGTGTGTCCCGTTTAAAATTTTTACCTTTTTCATGACCCGAGTACATCCGCAATCTTATCGACAATTTTTACAGAGCCACGAATTTTATTATAAATAGAACTTAAAACACTTGTAAAAAAATAATGTTTTTTTTTTTTTAGATTCAGAGCATAGCGATAGGGATGTATTGGTTTTACAATGATTTTTATTTTTTTTTCTATGTGCAACTTTTCTATCAGAAATTTTGCTCTGATGTATCATGTGTAGTACCTTTTCTGAAAGAAAATGTTATCTAGTTGGTACTTTAAAGATGTCATTTTTTAATTTTTCAAATGGTTTTCATAATAATAGGAAAAACTGGAAAAAACGTAGGAAAAACGGGAAAATGTACAAATATGTATAAAAAAAACGTGGCTCTTAATTGTTTTTCGTTAGCAATGATTTATCGTTTCATATAGATATGAATTGAATTCCCCTCTGTATCATAACTTTCCAACTTCTCATACACAACAGTGGTCCACCCATCGTATGAAGTATATCTCCGCTTTTTTTACTATAAAGTACATTCCGTGAATATTCCTGTTTTCACCTTTTCCCGGTTTTCCTGTATTATTAAGAAAAGTAAATAGGAAAATCAAAAAAGGACTTAATGCACCAACCAAAAAAAAATGTCCACCGAAAACAATAGAATTTGCCTGGTGGAATGCTTGATGTTATTTAATAAAGCAAGATTTCTTATTTATACCGTTATAATTTTCATATTTATCTATTTTTATTATTAAGTTATCTTTGTAAAAAAAAAATCTCGCAGGGGTTATTGCCTTCATTGCATCCTCCTCAAATGCACTACTAATATTCTTACTAGTATTTGCGGTTTGAAGTGGAAAATTAAACACGGAATTATAAAATTCTCATTCGGTGCATTTTGTATAATATGAAGACAATGTTAATGTTATAATAATTGTATACGCATAAATTTCGCGATTTTCTCTAATAAAGTAAAAGGGAATAACGTTCATACATTCGTTCGAGCGTTCCCACTGCCCTAGTATACTAGCTACTCCGGTGACATGCTTCATTTGAATAACTCGATAAACCCAACCTGTCTGTACCCGGTCTGTATCTACGATACGGCGAAACGACTCAAAGTCTGAGTAGTTTTATAAGTGCATTATGCAGGAAAGTATACTACACTATTTACAATATATGATGCATATTTTAATGTTCATATATTTTAAAATTATTGCGTATTGGGCTCTCGTCTGTTATTGTATTTAAAAAAAAATAATTAAAATACTCTTAAAAGTAAATCTAAGTTACTTGACTAGGCTTGGTTAGAATTTTTTTTTCGGATCGTAAATAACACAGCGTCAGAATAAATTATGACCTATTTATAATAATATATTTTATTTTCGTTTTACGCGTAGATACCTATATAATATACTTTAATAATATTATTATGTTGCAAAACCATTTTTTTTTTCTGTTATATTATAGTTTATAGTAATATTTTACTTTCACTGAAATAATACTATATACATATTGCACTTACAAGCTATACATTTATGTTCTATTTTATTGTTCAAAAATTGTAGTTGTCAACCAGGTTTGTAATTTATTGACAACTATCATTAATTGATCGTTTATAGAATATATTTTATTGACGCGCAAATTTTGTGTTTTAAATGTTACCAATCAGCACACGAAATACTGTATTTTACAAAACACGCGCAGGCGTGTTTTAGATTCTGAATAAGCTATTATAGTTTTGCAAAAATATGATTTGTCTTCACACGATGCACACAAATATTCGGAATTTCGGCCGACGGCACTTGATTTCAAATATTTATCGATATTTTTAACAGTGCACCCCCTAGGTTCTTTTTTTTAATTTTCGTCGTTTTTCGGGTTACCTTGAGGATATGGGAAAAACACTTAACGAATGTCGCTCAAAATCGTGTTTCGGTTACAGTGCATAGATAAATTAAATTACTCTATAAAGTATACACTCTAACTTTCGAACCACTCACATACAACAGTAGCCTACCCAAGTATGTCATGTTTTTTAAATTAGTAAATGTTCAGACAATTGTGAAAGTTTACATCGGCGTTGCGCAGTATAGATTTTCCCATTTTTCCTGCGGTTTTTTTCCTTTAGTTTCCCCTTATCGTTACTAAGAAAATAACAGGGAATATGAAAAATAAAAAATAACAGTCCGCGCACCAAAATACTAGATAAAAATTGAAATCTTAAAATACCTGAAATCATCAATGCAATATTTATTATGTCGACGATCGGGACAAATCTTCTGTTTGATACCTATAAACAATCATACAGGACGTCGGCTTTTTGTTATAATAATATTTGAGTTAATGAGTTCACATTGTTGTGTAGCGAATAAACACGGTACGTATTTTCCTATTTTTTTTTTTTTCTTCTGTATGTACTCCGTTCGGACAACGCGAGATTAAATAAATAATGTCACTACTGTCCATCTATGTTATCCAGAAATGGCGGGTTTTCCATGTGAAAGTTTTGAACGTTATCCAGCATAGTGCGGATTGAATATGAAACCGAAATGCATTAAACGAGTACTCAGATAAGTGTGTAGGTATATCTTTATAAATAGTGAGCGTAACATAATGCATTTGTGCACAGGTGTATATATTATATTTTCTTTTATGAAACGTTAGTGTGCTGTTTTGCATTTTACGCACATTTGATATATATACATAATATTGCGTCACTGTCTTATCTAACGGCGATACAATACACACATTTTCATAGTTTCATACAACAGTATAAGAGAAATAATAACCAGCGAAAATACAAATGGTATCCAGTATTCTAGTACCTACCAATCCTGCTACCAACTTATTTCGTTTTCAAATCGTACTTGGAAGAATGTATTTGTATTTCTATAACGAAAGAACTTTGTTATTAAATTCTCTATAAATGTGTGTGTATATTTTTTTTTTAGAATGCAGCTATAATAGGCTGAATAGGTATATTTGGTGATGAGTAAAAAAAAAAAAAAAAAAAAAAAACAAACAAAAGATCATCGACAAATCATTAATTAGGACCTGAATGTATTGGTTTTAAAAGTATGTTTTTAAATTTTTTTTTTTTTTATGTCCGAAAAGCTCTTTTCTACCAGAAACCGTACTCTGATTTTTAAGTATTGTATATTTTCTGAAAAAATTTATATGTAGTTGGTGTATTTTAGGATGGTAATTATTTGATTTTCCTTAGAGTTTTCTAAATAACTGGGAAAAAAACGCAGGGAAAATAGGAAAGGCCAAAGAAATAACGGTTTTGTGATTTTCAATTTTATTTTCTTGTTGTAATCCAGTTAAAAATAGTTGTAGAAATCGGACATTTTTACAGAATACTTATATTAGCCTTGTTTTGATGTGTCTAACATATTTTGGTAATTTTTAACTATTTAAAGGTACATTTGAAATTTTCGAAGATTTTTAGTTTTTTTTATTTGGTTTTATATGAAAAAAAAAAATTTTCCTCTAGCAGAAGTTCTAGAAAACATTTGTGTGTTCACGTTTTATGAAAACCATAAAAACCACGGAATTTCAAACATATATAACCAAACTTCGCTCAGAATCATAATTCATTATCAATGATTTTTTTTTCATACAAATATAAATTAAACAACTTATAAATTTCTTACCTCCCCAATTTCCAAACTACAACAATGGTATACACCCATTATACCCATTAGCACGATCAGCTCTTCTTAAAATTTGCATACGTAAATAAATGAATATAGGTACACATTATGATGATACTATTTTATTTAAATGATGACAATATTATTATAATAATTATGTTCAAATTAAATTCGTGTTTTTATATGTTTATTCTGTACACCTATTATCGTGTATTATTTAGAATGAGTTGGCAAAAACCGATGAGCATATTACAAGAATGAGAGAAACCATCGAGTGGGGTGAAGAAACGCTTTTGGCGTGGAATAACGATTTGGCCAAAGAGAATACGGATGTTAATATTCTCGAAAGATACCATTTGGAGGATAATAATATGTTCAAAGTAAAATATTACTGAATAACTGGTTATGATTATTTTATAAAAATACATATTTATCAATATATAATTTGGAATATTTTAGGAATTGGATTTACGAAGAAAGTACCTTCAACGAGATGTACTCGAAAGGGAATCGATCGTCGAAAAAGAAGTTAGTGAGTTGCTCCGAGTAGAAAGGGAATTGGAACAAACCTCTAAACTAACCAGACAAGCACAACATGAAAGAAACCATCTGCTTGAACAATGGGAGAATGCGGCAAATTTTTCAAATTCTAATCATAAAGAAACACAACATATCGTAGAAGTCGGTACCTACACCTATATAGTTTTAATATAATCAATATAATCGATTAAAACTTTATTACAGGAAATAAACAAAATTAGAGAAGCTGCTCGAGAAGTTTATGAAAATATGATCGAAACCAAACGAAAATATCGAGACTTTTTAGATGCTAACGAAGACCTAGAGTATGAAATATATGAAACGAAAAAATTCGTAAACGAATTGAAAATATCGAACCTTAATCAAGTATCGGAAACCGAGAATATGCAATCAGAAGTAAGGTTTTGAATAATATCTGTGAATATATTATATTTTTTTGTCAAAACGATATTACACTATTTACTAATATATAACTTAAACATATTTTTGCAGGTGTTAGCTGCTCAAATAGCTCTTAATACTTTGGGTAATTCGTTAGCCAACGAACGAACAAAACGTAGACACATGCGAAACGAACAAGCCAAATTAAAAACACGTATACACCAGAAACAAGAAGAAATATCAAAAATTAAGGAAAATATATCGAAACTAAAAAGTCAGTCGATGAACACCGAGGAAAGATTAAACGAACTGAATAGAATTTATGAAGTAAATATTTATAAAATTTGGATTGGGAATGCATAATAAACATACTAAAAGTATGTTGTTTGTGTATTTGTTTTAGAACCAAAAAACTATAAGTGAACGACTTTTGTCTGAAAAAAATAAAGTGCTAAATTCAACGTTTCACGTGCAAAACGAAATAAAACAATTACAAACTAAAATCGATCTGATGAATAATCTATTAGAACAGAATCGCAATAAACAGATTATGTTGAGGAAAGAAGAATCCAAAACAAAACAATTAATTATGGAGAAAAAGGAAGTTTCGTACAACTTGGTAAGCAAGCTGGGATACCAGTTGTGTCAAAAATCGCGATATAATGAAATTGTTATTTGGAAATGTTCGTAGAGCTTTCAATTGGAAATGGTCCGTATTAAAATCGACGAAGCAAAAGGTACCGTTGATATAGAAGAGATGCATCGTTTACGAGATGAGTTGGAAACACTTAACCGAGAATTGAGCCACGTGAAAGACGAACAGAATCAACTGGAAAAGCAGTTAAAATCATCCGAAGTAGGTATATAGATAAAATAATGTACATATGTACCGACATGATGAAAATACCAAAATAAACTATTTTAGAGCGAATCTCGGCGCATAATCAAGGAGATCGAAAGAAATAACGTCGACTTGGAATCGTTTCGAAATCGAGTTGAAGAGCTGAGCATCCGTAACGAAGGAGGTATACCGAATAAACGCTATCATCATCATGTCATTATTATGTACTGAATATATATTTTTGTGTTTTCTTTTTCTCGTTTAGGTGAAAAACAAATTGAATTGTTGAAGGAACAGAATCACCGTTATCACATGGATCAAATGATGGCTGAGCTCAAGGTGGAACAAATGAAGAAGATGACGGACAACGAGTGTGAGAAAGTGTACTCGTTGGCCCAGCAGCGGGAAGAAATGACTTCGGTACATCTTTAGGTTATAATTATAATAAACCTAACAGAAAAAAACAATAGTATAATATTGTATAGTAATACAATATTATTATAATGGTGACACAACCGTGTTGTATACTGCTACAGGAGATAAACAGAAGGAAAGCCGAAGTAGCAGCCATTTATGAGCAGATAAACTTTGAGAAAAAAACGTTGTCTGACGAGAAATCTTTAGTGAAACGCAAGTTGGATGCACTAGTCCAATACATTGAACAACGAAAGAATAGGTATGAGATATTGCTGGTGACTTTGGGTGGCTCTGGAGACGGCGGAGATGAAGAAAGAGATGATGTCAAATCGTCATTTACGATAAGCGAACATCGGATCAGACTGGCCCGAGAAAAACTTGAGCTCCAGGACACGGGCGACAGGTTGGACGAACGAGTCCAGAAGCTGGAGACCGAAATCAGGGCCATGGAGAACACGCTTCACGTATTGAACGCTTCCAATGATTGTTACAAGTCCAGCCTGTGTTCCGTGAACCCACAGAGTCAGTTTTTATCACTTTCATTTTTCAGGCCAAGTGCCACTAGCTACTTTTATTTAATATATAGTGACATGTATGTGTTTTAGGCGAAGAGTACAAGGACAAGATCCGTCTGGAAGAAACGTACGATAATCTTAACAGTGAGTGGTTGCAAAAGAAGAAGACGTTAAAGAGAGTACAAAACGAAATCCGAGTAAGTTAAAACACACATACAATTACAATTTATTTTTATTTTTGTTAACATGATTTGATAATTATTAAAATATTCTATTAAAAAAAAAAAAAAAAAAATACACAATAAATTAATTCCCAAAGGTAATTTTAGACAGTTTTTAAAATTGCGTTTTTGCAGTAGGAGAGAAATTTCGTTATTATTGGTAATAAATACAAATCAGTGAAAATTAAATGATTCTATCCATATTACTATTTATTATTAAATTTTGGTATATGTACTTGCAATACGTTTTATACGTTAAAAACTTTGCATTAAACAGTATTATTATACAATTTTATATTATTATAACAATACAAAATGTATAACAGGATCTGGAGTCACAGTATAAAAAATGCAACGAAGATTTGGATGATTTGATAAACCTTCGAGACATCAAAGAAAATGAACTCGAACGTGCTCTTAAAGAGACCAATGAACAAATAATGAAATTAAACAGAGCGAATAACCGAATTCAGTTCGATACGAAACAAATTGATAAAAGCTGCAAACCGGATAAACGGAATGCACTCGAGTTAATAAAAGTACGATATTTCTATATATCCCATAATTTTTTTAATAATAAAAAATAAAAACGATACATTAAGCACATTTTTTACCACCGCGACTTGTTGACATAAAATATTAGAAGATTTAGACATGCATTATGATAATCGCGTTTATGCTTTTATACTTAAAATGTATAAATCTTCTAACTTAATTTTTAAATTTATTTGCCTTGAAAAAATCATAGAAATATTAAATTTAGTCCAAATAGTATTATTTAAAATTAGTTAAAACTAGATTAAAAAAAGAACAAAATCCATCAAAAAAATATATATACATCGATATAATCATGGTTCTTGGCTCTGAATGGATATTTTGCTGTAAAGTTATGATGTCAATACAACTAATGTGGAATTCTCAATACGGCATTTATAACTTTCATGGTCTTGGTTTCTTATAAGTACCTATCTATTAAAAAAAAAATCTGGCAAGAGCAGAAAAATGCGTTTTTCAAGCCCTCATAATAAAAACAAAAAAAAGCAAATACAAACTTCAAGGTTTGTAAACATATATACTAGTAATTAAAATTGAATTCCATTAAAGTTAACCATCATAAAAATTTAAAACGATTTTTAGAAAAAACATTAAATATACGACTTGAAAAAAAAAATGATTTGGGTATAAACCTTGGATCCCCTCGTTTGGTTGTTAGTGTCTAATAATTGATTTAAAAAAAAAAAATACCTAACGAATGGCGTATTTTTTAGTGCTTATATTTCTCATTAGTTTTTTAACGTTTCGTCAAACAGTGTTGTAACCATTAAAATGTAGCGGTGAAAGCATATCATACATCTAAACAATATAAATTTCTTAGGTTTTGATTTTGTAACACTGAAGTTCGAGTGTCTGATGGGTTTTTATTACATGCGAATTCGGTGTCATTGGTCGATAATATTTCTAAAAATAACAACAAATTTTGAGGCCAAACTCACATACATATAATGTATAATATATTCATTCTATATTTAAATAAGTGATTTTCAGCGACATTAAATTTTTTAGTAATTTGTGTATACATAATAATTAGTAATAAATAATTATATTTTATTATTTTAATGCATATTTAATTTATGCATAGAAGACAGTCAATAGTTAAATGCCAATATTTTATACATGTTGGGGTCTGAGATTCCTCCAGACATAAATATTACTGAGGACTCCAGCTGCGTTCGTGGCCTGGCGGCTATGCGCTAGATTGACACTGGTTATTAACTGGGTAGGTATTCGTTAAACTTAACAAGTGATTTTTACCTATAGCGTTTTCGACAGAAGCAGCTAACTTGATATGATTTGCTTAAAATGTATTTAAGTACTTAAAACAAACAAAAAAGTTTACAACCTATTAAAATAAAAACCAGGGCTTATTATAGAGAAATATTTCAGATTTAATGCGTTCCCCGGAGCGATTTTGGGTTAATATTATGTAATGGGCAATATTATTTTAACAAGCAGAATCACGAACATTTGGTTTTTTTTTTTATTTGAAAAATGAAAAAAACTTGTTAATTTCGGGTTTCATGCAAATATTTATGCTAAATATTCGCAAAAATAATTGTTTGCGAATAATTATTGGCTTTATAATATAAAGAAACCGAACAAAGAAATATTATCGTTGCAACAACCGGCGTAAATTACTATAGTCATGCAATCTCAGCAAACTCGTATTCTGGTAAGGGTCGTTTTTTTTCTATAATTATTTTTAGCGCTATCCTTAAGCGACCAAATTATTTACAATTACCTATCCATAAAGATTTTTTTTCAATGATCATATCGCTACGTACATGTACTTGTGTACAAACATATGGTGGGGTTAAGGGTTGGAAGTTCAAATTTTCAAAATTCAAACCCGTGACAAAAATGCTATTTATTCACAGACATTTTAACCAAGTATACTATACTTCAATGAATCTGTAAGGTTATTTAAAATCCGCTACCTAAAATATGCTACCTACATAAGATGAACTGCTGTGCGCAATACGAATATTGGAAAATCGGTTAATGATCGATGATATTGTACAAAACATAATAGTTCTATATTAAGTGCTTTTTGTTTTCATAATCTATGTATAACTTTGCTTGAACGATCACAATAATAGTATTCAGGGGCGGCTCCAGAGACTCGGTAGGCAGGAGGCCAAGTCATATTTTTCAGAAAACTGTATAAAAAACATATTTTATAAGTTGATTTTTATTTGTACATTTATTTTTAACAAAAATACGGGCTTAGAGGGGGCCACGGTCCCTAGCCCCCCCCCTGAAGCCGCCCCTGCGGAAGTCCGTATCCGAGTCACACCTAACCTATAATGAGTGGTCACCGGTTAGGTCAGGTAATAATAGTGAAATCAAAAATGACCGCGGAAAAAACAATTTCCGATAAAAAATGTTTATACGCCGAAATCGCTACTGCAAAAGAAAAATAATAACAATGATTCTACGCCGACAGTCGATACGTGTATAGTGTATACATTTATAATATTACGCTTCATTTTTATCTGATGACTAAATATTTAATATAGGTAAACTGTCCGACGAATAATAATGATAATTTCCCAAATCAGTGCACGTTCCTATACGATATACACCGTATATTAATATCATAATAACACGGGTTTTTCAGGCGAAATAAAATTGTAAACCTATCAAATTAAATTATCGGGATTTTACTGTTCCACAAGGAGAATAATATGCATTAAAAATTTAATTTTTTGGAAAACCTTGGGGGGGGGCATAGCCCCAGCGCCCCCTCCCCCTGGAGCCACGCCTGATAATATTACTTGTTTTCGTAGCGCGACATTGCGGTGAGGTTGATGAGAAAAGTGAACAAAACAGTTTTAGAATTGTTATCGGAAATGTCCGTACGGGATTTGGGATTCGAACCGGTGGTCAAGCGGTATTTGTCGGAAAAGGACTTGGAGCTACCCATTGTGTCCGGTCTGACGATGATGAACAAAGCCAAATCGAGTTGCGGTTCCAGCACCGGAGTATCGTTGATCGGCAGCAGCTGTAACGGCAGCGTGAAAAGGTGCGTGTCTAAAAACCAAATATTATTTCACGATTACAATATTATTATTGTGTTTAACGGCCTGTCGGTAGAGTGGAATTTCGTGGTGTGATTGAAAAAAACAACACACTTTATATTATATTATTTTACACGCATTAGTTATTCGCCGCTAACGAAGCAAACAGCGTGTCATTGTTAGCATATACTTGTAGTAAACGGGAATGCCTGCAGCAGATGTATACACATCGGAACGGATATGACAAATCTTTTTTTTCTTTTATTCAATTTTTTTTCGAAAACCCTGTTAGATGATGCAAAGATAATTCGTGTTTGTCCGTGTTTGCACTTTCGACGGAAGCGTAAAATACTTGTAAAGATAAGTGAACGAATCACTTCAAAAACTATTTTAGTGAACGGCGCATGTCCACTAAAAATTGTATGCGAAAACTAATAATATTACCCATAATCTCTTCAGACAAATTTTGTAGCGATGGTCAAAAACTGCAGGAGTAATCAAGATATTATTGGTATTAAACCCAATTTTTAGATAATCACTTTTGGACTACTTGAAAATCGGGTTTTTAGACTATTGTGAACCGTATCTTTTCAAATGAATGTAAAATATTAATATTATAGGAATACGTATGGAATTTTCAGATTCTGAACGAAACGATGAATGTACTAGCTTTAGTACAATGTGTTTATTTTTTGTCTGTAAACAACCAGGTGCCTACCAAAATTTCTTTCAAACCAAAAACTTTGTAGGAACTTTATTGTCACATTTCAATCCAGTCGGTGCATTGAGGAAGTCATTTTTTGGTTTTTCTTGTAGTTTTCTTAAAAAAATGGAAAAACTGGAATTTTTGTTGATTTCTGATTTATCTAGGTATGAAGAAAAAACCAACTAATAATAATATGTTCAGAATCGTTTTTTTAATATCAATAGTTTTTCTTTAAATATATGTGTAAATTAAAATACTCTTTATATTCTCCCTTCAGAGTTGCCTCCGAAAACACCCATTAGCGGTATCAGTATTTCTTAAAGTAATATCATAATCGATATCGTTATAATATCATGTAAAGTTAATAAATATTTAATTTTATACAATATTAAATTACAGTTTTTCGGACGAAAACAGGAAGAGTTCTAATTATTCCACGGTGAATTTGGAGCCTCCACTTAGAAGTCATGTCCGGAAATCCGGTAAGTGTGGGTTAAAGACTTAAAGTGTACTGTGTATATACTACACGTATAGAAATTAGAATATTCATAAATATTTTTTTTTTATATTATGTTTACGAGATAATGTAATTATTATTATTAGTTTTTTCATATTCCTTTATGGTGTTTTACTTTTTCATTTCAGTTGCGAAGGAATTGTAAAATTACAATGTAAAAATGCAGAAAAATACCGAAACACTGACAAATGATCAATAATATCAACAATATATTTGTATTTGTACGTATTTTATTAACGCAATATAATTTATGTTTCCAATGTAGTGATACGTTATTATTAATCGTAGTTGTTCTCAAGTATAGATAAAAATAACGGAAAACATAGTATCGCCTTATTATTATTATTCTCTATCTCTCGTAATATTATCAACTAGTTACCTATATATTATATAAATGCATCCTATAACAAAGTTATAATCTCGTTAAACCGCGAGTGAAAGTAGTGAAATGGCAAATTCAAAATTATGATCGAATTGCAGCAGCGAACAAAATTATCGCCTCGCAATTCAATTGTATGGTGTATCGGTGTAATAATGAAATAATAGTAGTTGTGAGTGGTATTGTCTATACCAGCGTTTCTCAAACTGTGGGTCGTCATCCACCGGTGAGTCCCGAGTCAATTTTTGGTGAGTCTCGAAAATTGTTTTGAATCATATAAGTTCCAAGAAATGTGTGTTTTTAGATTCTGAACGGAGCGAGGAATGCATTGGTTTTACAATAATGTTTTTTTTTTTTATTTTTATCTGTAAACAACTTTTCTACCAGCAATTTTTCTCCGATTTTCAAGTGTAGCACTTTTTCTGAAAGGAAATTTAACTGGAGTGGTACTCTAAGGAGATCATTTTTTGATTTTTTCAACTGTTCTCATAAACTACTTTTTGAAAAGTGAAACCTAATGAGTCGGGATAGATTTTCGGTGGAAAATTTGGGTCGCGGTCCTAAAAAGATTGAGAACCACTGGCCTATACAATATATTGTTAAAAATTCGTACCTATCTTTGACCTGGTAAACTTATTATCTAAGTTTGTTTTCTCAATCGTTTTCAAAGTTAAGATGAGGTTTTAGTGGTATCCATCACATTGCAGCAACAACAATAATAACAACAACAAGACAAATAAAATTACATATTTATGTAACCACTAAAGTGTTGTAAAATGCATATAATTATATATTACAAAGTACGAATTGCATATTATTTGAAAATGCGTTTATTTTGCTAAAATATATTCTCAATAAACGCAAATATAATGGCAAACAAAATTTAAAACAATAAGTAATAAATAACATTCCCATGAATACTTAGCTATTATTATTATTTATTTCGCATGGCTATAATGCTGCACGATTCGATTATAATGCAAACGTCTGATTGTATTTAAATTGTAAAATTTAATAATAGACAGTTGTTTTAAATAAAACAATTTTACCGTTATATAATCGTGCATAATTTATGTTATCATTATATCGACGAATATATTTATTTATAATAGTTAGTATAAAAAAAATTATCACAATTTTATGTAACATATTTCCCCAAAATCATGCCATCGAAACCGTCTCGTTTATATCTACTCTTATGTACCCCAGTATCAGCTTTTTTTTTTTCTTCTTACTTCTTCTTACCCAGGTTATACAATTAACTTTTCGTACATTTGCTTTGTAGATATTTAGTATATATTTGTATGAACTTTTATACTCAATCCCCGGTATTCGTAATACATCTTTCCCTCCAGAAAAACAAAAACGTTATGAACGGCTTAATTAAGTCATATATTATCATAGACGGTACATTTATATCGTATATAACAGTGTATACTAAGAAGACGTTTCCGAGGCGGCCTTAATCCTCGTGAGGACACCTAGGAAATCTCCTCGTCTGAAAGAGGAAACGGATCCGCGCTAAGATGGAAGATTGGCGATCTGTGTTCCGGAGCAAAATGTTTGTTAGGTTAAATAACAGGCTTTGGACTACTGGACGAGTTGGCTCAAGTGGCTCAAATGGTGAGCACGATTTCACGCTGAACGCTACGGAATTTCATCGCTGACTCGGTTTTGTTCAAGTCTTCCATCTTGGAGCGGATCCGCTTCCTCTTTCAGGAGAGGAGATCTACCTACGAGGAATGAGGCCACCTCAAAAACGTCTTTTTACTTGGTATACACTGTTATATACGATCTAAATGAAGTTTCCATAATAATATATGACCTAATAAAGCCGTTCATAATATTTTTGTTTTTTTACGCAGAGAGGGGTATCATACGAATTCCGGGATTGTTCTGAATTTGTTCAACTGTTTTTCCTCAGTTTTTTTTTCGGTTTTTTTTCCATTTATTAAGAAAACTTATGGTAAAATCAAAAATGACTTAAAAATTGCTATCATTATAAACCGGAAGAAAATTGCTGATAAAAAAGTTGTTTACGGAAAAAAAAATCGTAATATTTTAATATTATATTTTGTACATTTTTCCGTTTTTCTACAGTTTTTTTTTCGATTTTTCATATATTTTGAGAAAATCGAAAGATGATGTGGTTTATTATTTATATTTCTTATAAATGAATGCAATAATGCTATTAAATTTATTAGATTGTTCAACTGAACTTTGTTCAGAATCGTTTTTTAATTGCAACACTTTCTTGTTCTCTACAATTTAAAAACTAAATTATCCTATAACATATTATCTTATCTTTCCAATGTCTTTTTTTATTCAATTTTCAGTACAAAGTTATGTACGAGGTACGACCAAATAAAAATGTTTATTGATTTATCGTACAATACCGCCGGACAGTTTTAAAATATATGCATAATATATATTATATATGTTACCGTATTTGTTCCTGGATGGGAGAAAATATGCGAACACCTTTCTGAATCGAACAAATTATTACGATCCCGGATACCTATATCTAAATGGTAAATGTTCTTAACGGTATTATATTTTATCGCTTGTGAATATAAAATTATATTATACTGAATCTAATTGATTTTAATATGCTTAACGTGGCTGATGTAAAGATAATAAAGATAATGTATTATTCTTGTTCCGCGTGTCATGTTTTAGTGTATACTTATGAATATTATTAGGAATGTTATAAGTATACATTTTTCTGTTCGTGATAACCGTAGGTATTATTCATGTCCGTACAGCGAAAGCTTACAAACTGCAACAATCGCGAAAACGAATGGACGGGCAAACAATTATTTCGTCTGTTTCGAAGGTAATTCCGGTTTTACTGAACGCCTTCACTGGTAATCATTACAGCTACCGTATAATAATATTACACCAGGCACTAGACAGTGTGAATTAAAAAATTGAATAGAATTTTAATTGTAATTTTTTTAATTTTATGGGTATTTTTACTATCGAAGTTATTATTACTATGTTATTACTATTGAAAACTAAATATAGTTATATTTAGTGTAAGGGTATAATTTTTTAAATGTTATTTTTTGACATACACAGGGTTATATTTCCACTCTTATTGTTGCAATATCTGTAAAGAAATAAGTAAACGAATAAAATGTTCTAATTTGAACGATGGGTACGTTCGATAGGTTAGTATTATCTTCCATCTACGTAAAACGATGGCGATATAGACTCTGTATAGCGAGATGATTCCTATATAATAATTATTATAGAGGAACCCCGCTTTATTTCATTAAACAATTGTCTTATTGTTTTAATCATTCCATATCATACGTTACTGTCATATTGTGGCATAAGTTGCTGTTAATTATGTCTACTTAAGCCAAATATATCCAATTGTATTAAGCAAAAACCGCGAAAAAACTAGTGGTACATAAATAAATTTCACCTGTGCAAGCGAGTCAATATTTTTCTTTCACACGACATCAAAAACCGTTATTATTACAGTACCCTAAAAAACATATCTGGAAAAATCAGAGAATACTCTCAAATAAGGGTCTGTTTTATTTATTATAATATAACGTATTAGTTTTAGAACCCTCGATAAAACGGCCAAAACGGGACCCTCTGATATGAAACGAAAGACAATAATTTACTATAGAATGGTTGATTCAATATTTTTTTTTTTTTTACTTCTATCCGACAGAACTACCGGTGTAACTGTATAATTGACCCCCCAGTGGTTTAAATATCACGGGGGTGAAACACTGGCATACCGGTTTTTATATTTAAAAAAAAAAAATTATTGATTTGTCGTATCATATTTGATATTTTAAATTATTGAATAGATTCCGGTGTACATAATAATTATTACGTTTAACAATCATTATGCCATTCATTAGTGTGACGAGAGATCACATGACACGTGATCACGTAAAATAGGGAGCTAATAAAATGAATTATCTAGAACATTAACTATGTAGTAAAATTTACAATACAGCGACTTATTCTGCATTAATAAAAACCACCGATAATATGTGAAAATATACGTGTTAAGTAGGTAGGTACGATTAAGTTTTATATACATAAGAATTATATATATACAGTAAGATTATAATATATGACTTAATATTTAAATGTGTTTGTGTATAATACTAAAGAACTAAAACTAAGAACTAAAAAAAACATTTTACATAAATAGTAACAAATTTGTACCTTTTTATAATTTAGAAAAATAGTTTTTAATATTAGATTGCTTTTTGTGATTAAAAGCAGCGCGTTCAGCACATTCTCGGGCTTTGGTTGTAAGTTCTAATAGATCTGAATTTGAAATCGTGACTGAACATTTTTGTAATTCTTCTAAATGCGATATTGCGGTTTTAAAATATTTTATTTTTGGCTCATCGTTGGTCCCACTGTCATCAATAATCATCATTATTTTCTTTTTCTCTTTCCTCTTCTTCTAAAAAAGACGCCGAATCGTAAGTTTAATGCGTTTCTAATTTATTGTCAAATGTAATGAAGTCTTCTATATCAACATCGGCTGTAACGCACTCCTCATTGATTTCTTTCAAAGCATTTTCTGGTAATTCTATATTGGTTATAATTTTTCTTTAAATAGTTTTATTTTCCGTTTAACAGAGAGTATTTTTACTAATTTGATTACGAAAATTGCAAATGATCAACTTACAAAGTTACTTAGAATTATTGTACATACATCGATGCAACCAGATCCTAAGAAGCTCACGAAAAAAATACCACACAAACAAATATAGTTTAACGTGTATATTTTGTTCCTTATTCATATTTAATTCTGATGTTTGTTTTGTTTAACTATTAACTGCGTTGTATATAGTTCTATAGGTACAATAAAAAATATGTACATATATTGTTTTATATAAATGT